TGGCAGCCTGTAGGCAGGAGAATGGATAACTGTGCAGGAGGTAGTGGATAATCGGAGTCATTGGAGAGTCAAGTTCACATACTGTTCTTATGGTAGTTGCCATTTTTTGTATTTAAATTCAGTCTAAGTGGATGCAGAATTATTGCTGGAATTCAGATCCACCTAATGCAATTAATTTACCCTGACCAGTTTCATGAGAGAGATTGGGAATCTTTGGGCTAATAATCCTCATAGGCCCCTGAGAACAGTTGCAGCTGTTCTCTGCATTTCATGCAGAAGAATTGCGATTCACACTGTGAAATTACTCCCTCACGCACGTGCTGAGCACTGCAGTTGTATTTTGCAGGTATCTGCTAACAGTACCACAGGCTGATGGGTGACTGTCTCCTTGAAAAGGTGCTAGTTCTCTCTGCAGTCATGCGTCTTGTAAGTGAGGAAATCCACACAATTTTCTTTTGGCATTAGTTGTGGTAGGTCAAAACTGGCACCAAACCGTGCTAGGTTTATAAATGTAACAAGCTTTTGTTACTCTGTAGAAATAGAGCTTCCCGGACCTGAAAATTTTGTTTACACATAAAAACATTACTTAAAATAATTCCTAAAGTTGTTCTGATAATGCCAGAGTAGAAGCTAGGAGAGGAAAGTGAGCTCCAGCTCTTTCTTCATTTCCAAGTCTATAGGTGGTTGTGAGCTGGTTCTGGCTGTTGAGATGTTTTTAGTATAGCTGTTGGAGCTGGAATATGTTATCTTTACAGTCTGATTTTTTATCCTGTTCAGAGACTGCTTCCTTAGTATTCCTTTAATGGTATGTACAGGACTTAAAAAAAAACAAACTAGAAAGAAACTGAAAGTAGGTTTGGAAAATGTTTGCGAGCAGATGGTGGTGGTTGTTGCTATTGCAATTGTTTTTCACCCATGGAAGTGTCCAAAGTCTGATAGAAAGACTAACTTAGTCTCCTAGAGCGTATATATTGTGTTGATAAGGCATGTGGTGCTCTCATCCTCCTGTGGAAATATTTGAGGCTTCCAAAGTTTTTTGGCCATTCCATTTTAGAATGCAAATAGGACCTTTAATTCCCCACCCCCCCCCACCCCCTTCCTTCCAGGAAAAAAGTAAGCGAATCTGGGGGAAGGAAGAAAGAAAAGAGGGAAGAGGAGGCTGTAGTTCTGCAGTATGCTGAGAAGGACTGCAGGGCTTCCTGAGTCAGACCAGAAATGTGGCCTGACAGTACTAAGATTTGAGCCAAGATATACTGCCAGTTCAGATTTGTTCCAAAGCCTGGCTGTGTTAATATTTTGTGCTGCTGGCCTTCACTCCTGAGCAGGTGATGTCCCTTTGCTTTAGAAGGCTTCTTACTGCACCTCTGGCTGCTGTCTACATGCCCTTTTGTCAGTGCTGTCTCCTGGGCTGCTCCAGAATCCCTGCACATCGCTGGTAGAATGTCACTCGCCTGCATTAAAAAGCATGTTTCCAACCCTCCCTCAATTTCTTTTTAGATGTTCACCACTGCTGGAAAAAAAAATGCTTTCCTCTAAGGGAATAGAGGGGATTGTCCCTGTGATAAGGACAATCACAGATGCTGAGGACAATGGTTCAATTCCCACAATCTGGGCTGAGCTCCATGCAGTTCTCCAGAGATACCTGGGGTTGAGGGAAGAAGAGACTTCTGTGGTCAAAACTACCTCTTTGACCCTTAGTCTTTCACTGTTTAGGGCATGTTTCCAGGTGTGTCTCGCTAATATGACAGACTACTGTTGCAAGCCATACTGCTCCTGGGCCTTGCATTGCTGTACACACAGTGATTGCTTTTGTTCAGTGATTGCTTCTCTCAATTCAGGAGAGAAAATGCAAGCTTCTATTTTCCTGCTTAGAAAAATGCCAAGTGTGCCTGAAACTGGTCAGCGGAGGATACAGGTGTGTGCCTCAGCCAGGCGAATGACTTGGATCCTGCAGGCATGGGAGCAGGAAAGTCAATTGATGCATTGTCACACAAATTAGTGAAATACATATGTAAAGTCCAGAACAAATGGATTATTCTGTTGCTTCCAGACAGCAACTGTATATATTGTCAGCCTATGTGCAGATGTATAGATATAAAGTAGAGCATAACTAGGGCCTAATATTGGTAATAAGAACATCTGTAAGCATCTGGAACATATGTTGTTTCCTATATTGCTCTTCTGCACACTTGGCCCTTTCGTTGCCTTGCACAGCTTCCGTACTGGAGCACTATTTAGTAGCTGCCAGAAATAAAGTTCTGCTATAGCAGCTGTGGTCAGCAGGACTCCAGCCAAGCTTGGGACCCAGTGGTTGTGGTGGTTTTGGCAACTAGCCAGTTGCCGTTAGCACTGTCTCTAAGTTTCTCCTTTTTACAATTCAAAATCAGTGTTCTGAATTCTTCTTCGGTGTATACATTTTTAAGTTCCCATGCTATTGTCTTCTTTAGGTCTTAAACTTTCTTTTTCAGTGAAATTGAAAAACCAGGAAGCCAATGGCTGCATGATCCTGTGTAACTAGATGAACACATGGGTACCTTGCAGCTTGCCAAGCTAGCTGCCATTCTCATTGATACAATACGCCTGATGGTCTGAGCAACTTTCAATGTGGCAGAATAAATCCATGCCTGCATCCCCATGGTGCTATTGTGTACATGCGTGTGGGCCAGCCAGGGTAAATGGGAAATCCTGATCAGCAAACACGTGCCCCCACCCCTTGTGAACGCACTTCCCGGAGATGTCACCTGCCTGAGGCTTTATAAGTGGCTCCTGTTTCCCCAACCCCAACCCCCCTGGCAGCAGAGTAATGTGGCGGATGTGTGTTCCCAGCCTCTGAAGAACTGAGGCAGCCTCTTCTTTGATATTCAGCCAGATGGTTTGAATGTCACCTTCCCCATTCTGGAGTTCTGCCTCCACTTGTGATCATTCCACACTTCTACCACAACACTTTGCTACCCATCTCTGATCAGTCCCAGGTGGTGCATGGAAAGAATGACATAGTTAAAATATTTCTCCATTTCATTTGTATATCTTTTTATGCTCAGGAGATTCTTTTGTTTGGGGTTTTTTGTTATTTCTCTGCTATTTAAGTCACTGAAGGTGCTGCCCACTGTGGGATTTCCCCGTTACAGCTTCCTGCTCTTACCACCATGATTTCATTTCTAGCCACAGCTCAGGTTATAGGCTGTCACCCTGTTGCCCAACCTATATCTGTTGGTCACCTCAGCCATTTCTTTGCCAGAAGTAAGAAGTCACTTTTTAAAAACATGTGATCGCATGTGTGTATTTTAACATGCATAAGCAATGTTTGAAGGGTGACAATACACCATGCTGCCGCTATTTTTGTTAATACACTGTACCATACAGTCACTGGGCTTTAAGCCCAGCACTGCATGCTGAAAGCTGCAGGAACTTAGAGCTGCTGCGTGGTGCCGGAGTGCAGGGCTCAGCTGGTGAGCTGCTTCCAGCAAAGCAGATGTTTCTGCTGAGACCTGGCAGGTACGGTGGCCTAGGTTGGCTCACCCGCCATCAGGATGCTGCCACCTTGCAGCTCTGGGTCCACAGAGTTTAATACCTTCCTACGTTCCCTCCCTTTGTTTCAGACTTCATTAGTTGGAGTCAAATACAGCTGCAGTTTTACTCTAGATTTTCAGAAAAATGCTGAGTGAAGTATCATAGCTGACACATTTAAAATCTTGACCAGCAGAAGCCCTGACTCTGCAGACTTGCTTTTTGTAGCATTAGGTAAAGTATTGTTCAAAATGCCACTGGTTGCCAGTGTGTAGTCAGTGCTGCCAGCCCTGGAGCTGAACAAGTAGGGGTGGCAATGAACTGTCAGCACAGGAAATCAGGAATATCTCTCTCAAGCTAGGAATAATCCCCTTTATTTGCCCATCTTTCTTTTTTGCTTTTCTTCATGCTATTCCCAAGCTTTTGAATTGTAGGCCACTTCTAGAAACTCTGCTGTTTTTGAAATGGTGTTTTACTCTGATTAAAACATTTTTCAGATCATTTGCTGCAGTAAGGGTAGAATAATGAGTGCTTAGCTTCCTGTGTACTTGCAGATGATTTTTTCAACATAATTTAATTTTGCCTGAAGCATAATCTTTATAACAATGGATACCTGATCATGTATTTACTTTGCAGTACCCTGGAGACAAATTTTGTGCTGACCATTCAAATGAGTATTATCATACAAGTCCTAACAAGACAGACTGGGAATAACTAAGTTATGTGTAGGCGTGAGAACCATAATGATTCAGATAAATTCCCACGTTACAAACCAACCTGCTTGATTCTATTCAGTACTTATTTTAATGGGAGTAAGGTGATCTAAGAGGAATTTTTCTTGATAATCTTTTGCCTTATGGAAGCTATATAAAAGCTATTTGTAGTAATGGTAATTTACTGTTATGTGTTTAGACCTGGAGCAGTGGCAAGGGAGGGAAGCCAAGTTTAATAACCGGGAGCACTATTTTGTCTTCATTTCACTGGGGGGGTTCTCAAAGCCTGGGAGACCTTCCAGAGCTATATGATAAACTTTTGGATTAATGTGATTGACCACTAGCCTTTTCATTTTCCTTATCTATATAGAGTCATGCATACCTATGTGGTGGATTACTATATAGAGAGTGTTATAGAATATTTTCCATCTCAGTTGCCTCTAGTATCTTCAGGCCATGTATCTAGTTCCAGTCTTGGTACAGACGATTAAGCCCCCAGGCAAACCAAACTAGGATTATTTAATTTTAAAATACACTTCAAAAACTCACGGTTATTCATATGCTATCTTTCATGTTCCTGTTTTTCTTTCACTTAGCTTTGTACTCTCTGGAACCTTAAAAGCGTAAAACAGAAGGAGGGTTTGGAAGCAGTAGAATAGCTTCTTTTTATTGGGTGATTCCCTAAAAATGACATCAATAAAAATTTAATCTCTGTGCCTTGAAAGTATGCTATGATTTTACTCTGATGTATGCTTTTTTGTTTATTTTCTTCTGTTTCAGGCCAAACAAACAAAGTAGCGAAGGAGGCAGCTAATAGATGGACGGGTGTGTATGCGTTTATATTGCTTAACACAGCTTCAGACTAGAGCATTTTCAGTAAAAGACCTACTAATTGTTAAGAATTTTAAACTTTATTAGGATTTGATGTAGGATAGCCCTCACTTATAAAAGCATGCAGAAGTATACTTTGCTTCTAAATTATCAAGATTCAAAAAATAATACATTTTCTCAATTTAGTTACTGAACGTACTTCACATAACATATTTATTTGTTCATATGGTGCTATCTTGCACACTGTGGTAAAACCTGCAAATTATTTTCTTGGTTGAGTTAAAATCTCTTAAGGTGAGAAAAGCATTAATAGAAAGAGACTGGAAATGGTGGTGTCCAGATATTCAGAAAGTTTAATTCTTCTTTTCTGAATTCTCATCTGTTTCTAAAGAGTAGAATGCTTTGTGGAACCTTATTGCTGCTACCATATGATGGCTGCTAATATAAAGTAGGTATTTCTCAAACTAATTCATCAGCTTTGACATGCAGGAAAAATGCTGCACCGTTTTGAGGAAGGTTACTCTGAGAACATTTGTATGGATGTTTAACCCAATTTTCTGTTGTTGCTTAGCTTTGCTATATTGCTATATATTTCCATTTTGCAGAGCAAGCAATATGTATGTCCTTCTTAATTATTTAGAATCTCATTTGTAAACTTTTGTTTAGAATTCATCTACTACTGATGGACTGCACGCTATCGTCGGTTATGCCAAGTGCAGCAGGACATCATTGTCACAGTCTTTTGACTGTTATTATTTTATATCTTCATTTGCACTGGGTTGTTTACTGCATATGGGGAAATAAAGTTATGTGTTTGAAAATAACTTCTGGAAGTACTGTTGTCAGGGCTTTCTACTGTTGATGACAGGCTGTTGTTCTCAAGATCTTGAGAGAGTTAGAGGAACTGTACCTCAGCCTGTAGAAAGTAATTTGCTATTTAATGAGACAGTTAGGTCTTATGCTGCAGCATATTTTTCTTTTGAAGAGAGAGTTTTAAAACCAAGCATCTGATGGTTAAAGAAAAGAAAATATTCCTAAGTTGTGGAGACACAGAGAACACTTCCTGTCCTAAGGAATGCTGCAATTTCTGGGTGTTAGGAATGATGTAGCGAGTTTCAATCAGTACTGCAATGAAAAATTATGTTAAATTGAAGAGAACATATGTGCTAAAATAATAGTAGTGTGGTGCTAAAAGAGAAGTGCTGACTAAAATAAAGCTACTTGAATGTATTTTTTTAACATTTAAACAAAATGTACATTATCTGACCAAACACATGCGGGACTAGAAAGGACCTTATAGTTAATTTGAATCTGATTTTCGCAGTTGTAGACAGTCACACAGTAGGTGTCTAGTTGAAAAAGGACCTATAAAAATACTTGTTATGCATATTCACACTTACCTCATCACTCCATAGCAGCCTTGCACTGTAATTGTAGCTTTCAGTCTTCTCATAGAGGAGCAAGAAAAGATAAAGGTAACCTCCAAAAAAGAAGCCATATTTTACTGAGAACTGAGTAGAAGTATGTCATTAACAAAAGCCTCCCATTTTCTGTTCTAAATCTACTTAATAATAATGCACCCAATATGTACCTTTTTCATATACAGAGAGATAATGCAAATGGAAGGATTTTGTTGGAGCCAAGACTACATTTCCTACTTTCCTAAATATTCAAAACAATGTTTTTCATTCTGTTTATAGATAACATCTTTTCAATAAAGTCCTGGGCCAAACGTAAATTTGGATTTGAAGAGAGCAGAATTGACAAAAGTTTTGGAATCCCAGAAGATTTGGATTACATTGATTAGTGTTCGGCAGTTGATGGCTGACACAGTTGTACATAGTTTGTTAAATATTCTCAGTTGGCATTCAAATGTAGATGTGAATCCTCTTCAAACAACTGTCCACCATTTATTTAGCAGTTTTTGTTAAAGTTAATAAAATTCTAAAAATATTTGTTGCATTTCCTTTTTTTTTTTTTTTTTTTTTGTTATACTCTCTGGCCAGTATATCTCTTGATTACTTCTGTGAGACAGAGTAAGAAGGGACACGGGTTATAGGGAATAATTATCACAAAGTCCTGAGACTGGTTTTTACTCTTCTTTTGCTTAACTGGGAGTAGTACTAAGAGCTAGAAGCTCCAGGGACTTATGTTTAAACATGCTGAAGACTTTGGAGTGGAAATAGCAGGGGACAAAATGGAATAGAATGAATTTTTCCCTCATCTTGACAAGGAAATAGAAGAGAAGCATAATCCATTAATGTAAAACATGGAGACAGTAAGGATATGAGTAGAAAGGCTGAGGTCTGACTTCAAGTTGTTCTTTATTGTGTTGCTAGAACTGGTTGTAAGTTTAATGACAAAACTTTTTTGTTGGAAAATACTAGTTCATCAGAGCTAAATCTGTTCCAGCAAATGTACTGGATTTGACACTGAGAAAGCTTCTCTGCTCAGGATTGTTACTGTTTAAGAGAGGGAGGAAAGAGCACCCATTCATCCATTCGCACTACAGCACACTGAGACTTAGGGTGCTCATCTGGGATGTGAGAGACCAAATTCAATTTGCTGTTCAAAATCAAGCATCTTTGGGTGCATGCACATTTTTCAATTTCAGGCTAAAAAAGCAGACAATCAAAATAATAACAAATTTCTGAATGTCTAATTTTTTTGTTTGGTGAAACTTTGCAAGCACCTCACTTGGTATCAGCTTCTGGTTTCTAGCTCTGATGAGTGCATGGCTACAAAAAGAGGGGTGGAGGGTACAGACTGGTTTCCTACCGCCTGTAGCTATGGATTGCAAGACCACATTTCCCCTGTACAGCTCTGGAGGAGATAAGCTTTACCTTTAGGAGGCAGGCAGGCCTGCTGCAAGGTAGATGTGTGTATCACTGGAAAGTGTCTGTCTGCCTTTTATGTAAACTCTGATAAGAGTATCACTGAAAAGGTGACATTTAGCTGGAGCTATGCTCAGAAGCCTGTCTCCTGTGACCTTTCCAATTAACATGCGCTGAACTGTTAGGAAACATTTTAAAATCCAAGGATTTTAGGTGTGCCCCTGGCTATTGTCATCCCATGCCTATGAAGACAGCAAAATGTCATGGTTTAACCCACTTGGCTGGCAGTGAACACCGTGCAGTCACTCGCTCATCATCCTCTTCCCTCCCGGTGATTGGGGAGAGAATTAAAGGGGTAAAGGGAAAAGAGACTCATGGTTTGAGATAAGAACAATTTAATAACTAAACTATGATAGAATTGAAAGTAATAATGATAATAATAGTAATAATACGCAACAGTGTAACTGCTCACCACCCGGTGACCAAGGCTCAACCTGTTCCCAGCTAACAATCCTGAAGCCAAGAGAGTGCCATAATCTGCAATCGTGGAAAAGAGAGAAGAGCCTGAGAGAGCAAGAGAGAGCTACTGGATATCCCCTCATAATACACTGGGCATGATGTGCATGATATAGAATATACCGTTGTCCAATTTGGGCTCAATCCGAAGCTGAAGGTCGAATCCTAAGCCAGTAATTGGGGCTGTGCTCCCTCCCAGCTTCTCCTGGACCTGCGCACTGGCAAAGCTTGGGAAGTTGGAAATGTCCTTGACTTAAAAAAACATTGCTTGGCAACCGCTATAAACATCAGTATGTTATCAGCCTTCTCAGAACAAATCCAAAACACAGCCTCACACTAGCTACTGTGAAGAAAGTTAACTCTGTCCCAGCTGAAACCAGGACAAAAACTTATTGGGAAGATACCAGGTGGAAGATTTTCCTCCCTTAGAGGTAGTGTAGCAAGCTATCTGTTGCCTAAAGGAAAATGTATGTGATGCCCAGCACATAGTAAAATGTCACCATGCTTACAACACTGTTGCGATGGAGAAAAGTCCTTTTTTTGTGTTTGGAATTATTTTATTCCTAATATATCCCATATTTAACATATAATGTGTTCCTAAGTAACAGCTTGCGAGTTGCTACCTGGTAAAAGCTTAATGCAAGCAGGTGGTGTTGAGCAGAATGTAGCGTTTCGTACCAGGCCTGACTTTTGCCATCCACGAAAGCCAAGTGATGGTGCCAAACCAAAGTACTGATATACAGGTATCTTGGGTGGTTGTTCTTACTCTTAGATTTTGTGCTGTGAAAGACTAAAAAACGTTTTTTCTGTTCTTTGCAGAACATCTCTAAGTGATTTTAATTTTTTTTCTGAATGTCCACTTTTTTTCCGTGTATCTGCTCTGTACCTCCGGACAGGTGTCAGAAGCTCCTTGGCACATCTGCTTTTGAGAGCACGGATCTGCCACACACAAGAGATGACTCAAGAGGCTTGTTCGTATGAAGAAACATTGAGCGCATGAACTTGTTCATGGTTCTTACTTTTTAGAATCACTTTCATATGGCTGAACTTCTACTCATCAGTCTTAGGTAATTTACAGCCTGGAGCTGTAATGTTAGTGCACCAAGGCTTCCTCTGGTACCTGTTGGGATGAGGGTTTCTTACTGATTTTTACTGCTTTGGCTTCTTTCCAAATTCAAGAAGGAAATGAAGATGACCAGCTCTGTAAGTTTAGCTGCAATATTGTGGCTTCCTGTCTGTAGCGTGAAAGCATTGCGGAGCATAGTAAAACCATTAAATATAATAAATAGCAACAAAGTACTTGAGGTAGACTTGCTTAGAGATGCTACAGTCAGCCAGCATGAGCAATACCTTTAAAATGTCAAACACAGTCCTCGTGCTTTGGACACAAAGCTTAAGTAGTTCAAGCACAAGCAATTTCTAGCAATATAATTTTCTGTAGCTTTTTGGGGTTTTTTGAGATTTTTTTTTCAGGTGCAGAATAGAACACAGACATGCAGTCGTACTCTATTTTCTACTCCTGTCTTCTGCTTCTGGTGTTGGTTAGCAAGCCTGGCAGGAGAATGTGTCTCCTCCTGCAAGGACAAAATTTTGGAACACCCAGAACAGAAATTTCTCAGCTCAAGAGAGGCAGGGAAGAGGCAGTGCATCATCAGAAACTGATGCTTTTTCCTCTAGTGGAATTGATTTACTCTGTGCTCTCTTTCTTGTGATTCTGCATTTTTAGTGTAGGTGACTTTCAACAGGAAAAACAAATCTAGATCCTTCCTGAATCAGATATATTTCTGAAAAATTTTCAAGCAGTTTCGAATATGCCAAGACACTTTCAGACTGCTGCATCTGATCACTTTTGGAAGCTTCTCTTCTTAAAAAGATATGCAGCAGACTGCTAAGTCACACAACATGAAACCATGTATGATTATGTGGTTTGAGATGGGTTCACTTGAATTTTTAAGAGAAGCTGAGACTTCTGTTTTCTGCTGAGTTAAAAAGTCACTAACAGTTCAAATGATTTTCCTTCTCCTGAGGTGTTTTTGGTGATTAGCTTATAACAAAAATGAAAACAATCAATCCAATCTTGTGTCCCGATACACGGAATCTAGGATATTTCTAAAGAATTGTAACATGAAAATGGTAGGGGTTAAATGCTCACTTCTGCTGTCACTCTTGTGGTTATGTCACACCTCTATTATGTATATGTCTTCCTGGTTTTTTTTTTCTTTTTTTTTTTTTTTTCTGCCCTGTAGGTTTTTTGCCCATGTAAGGTAAATGCTTTCAACTGTTGTAGCTAAGTCAGGAGGTCAGGCCCTTACTACAATTCAGGTTTATAATTAAAGCAGCTACTAGTGCAAAGTGTGAAAATCAAAGGCGGTTGTTTTTAGCAGAGTCTGCAGCTCTTTCAGGAGCACTATCAGGTCCAGCTTTTCCAAATAAACTCATGAAGAGTTTATCAGCACAGTACCAGGCTGAGGTGTTGGGTAAACCTACTCTTTTGGACTGATGTCGTTTAACCACTGTGAAGCAAACCTACACACAGGAGAAAATGTTTGTTTGTACCTGATCTACTTAGAAACTGTACCTGTTTAAAGAACGCTTGCTGGCTCTATCTGCCCTGGAACAACCTATTCTTCCTCAGCTTTTCTTTTAGCTGATCAAGTGTGGACTCTAGGGCTCCTTTTGTGGTCCTTGCAGAGTATTAAAATGTTAACAGTCACAAGGGTTTAGGTTTTTACACAAATCAGCTGCTAAACCGTACATTAACGCATCCTCTGAAATGTCATTACTTTTTTGGGGTGTACTAACGTACATGTTTTAAAAGGGAAAATCCAGGCTCTGAAACAAATGGCACAGCAGTGCCGTAAGCGAGTGGCAAAGCTGGAACTGAAACTGCCTGCAAGAACGATGGGAAAAGAAACCCAACCTGGGTGGTGACTAAGAAGTTTGCTGCAAGAGCTCCTTGCAGAGTCCTCCTGTCGCCCAGCCGTGTTGCCACCAGTCAGATGATCTGGGTGGTGCTTGTCTTCACCTTGTTTCTTGCAGAGGTGAGGTTCATAGGATTACATTTTCTGCCATTTCTCCCCTTCTTTTCCCTCCCAGTGTTCTTAAATTCCACAGTGGATTTCAGCCAAATTTAGTCTGAGGGGCTGTGGTGCAAGCTCATGATATATCTGTTGTGCTTGGCTGGCTGCCCGATAAATACAGGCTTTCCCACCTGCCAGTTTAGGGACTCAAGAAGGGGTACAGCATGCTGGAGGCAGGAGGAGGAAGGAAAAATGTTGAAGATGTCTCTAAAAGCCCTGGAAACATTTGGTGGCTGCTGGTGGTGGAGTTTCTGTGAGGGTCTGGCAGCACTGCTGGGGCTGAGACAGGACGGTGTGTGCATCCTGTCATTGGGAAGGAACAGGGATCCAAGAAAATGGTCTTGTGGCACCCTCACTTTGTTATTTCTGCTGCTTATGGAGCTGGGATTATTAGGCTGCGGGGTTGTACATTTACACAAGGCTTTACTGAAATGGCAGTTAGATCCCCTGCCTGCTGTAGGGAATCAGCACACCCCAGCACTGCACACATCTGGTGGCTTCAGCAGCTGGAGTCCTCGGCTA